TTTAAATTTTTGTGCAAATACCTGTAAAAAACAAAAACAACAACACTAACAACAACAACGACAATAACAACAAAAATAAGTATATCTAGTTTCATAATATAAAAAAACAATAAGAAAAAAAATGGTTAAAAATTACTCACAAATTAAAGAACTGAAGTATAGATACACAAAGTCTTTGATTTGTTAAGAGCTCCATGATATCCTTCTGATAGACAAACAAATCCATTTTCTCACCGACAATCCCTGACTCCACAACTACATGGACTGGTTGTGTAATGTCAATCGTTGCATTCCACATAGCTCTGAGCACATCCGTCTTATGTTTTGGATCCATTTGCTTTTGTTGGAAAGAATCCTATATAAATTAAAACAAACCATTAAAAAAGAGCAATTATTATTGAATGCATGTAGAAGAATATATTCAGGAGATATATTGATAAAAAAATTATTTACCTTTAGATTCTTCGCAACTAGATTTCTAGGCCAAGCAATGAATTGACTTGGAGCATCTCTCACGAAAGTGACCTCATCTGTCGGGTATGGCACAAAAGCATCACCAACTATAACCCGTGAGACCACAACCCGCACGTCTCCATCCTTCATCATTCGATGGTGCATGGTTGACCCCAAATTGTGGACATGGCCATATGCCACCAATCGCCTTTGGGGGTCCTCTAGATACAATCCATATTCCTCGCCGTCTTTGCTCACATCCGAAGCTGGAGCGCCACTTCCTTTCGTGCTCAGGATTACTGGAAAGCTAGGTGAAATGCCTGGCTGAGAACCAAGTTGCATCATCTTCATCACCTCACCTTTCACCTGCTCTGCAACTTCTTCTTTCACCTGAGATATAATGACATCCAACTCCTGCCGTGACACCATTCCTGCACCTGCACTTGGACGATTTGATCGTCCAAAAAAAGCCTTAATGCCCACGCCCTTTCTGACTCCCCTCACACGGCCAGGATGCTCTGGCTTTCCTATTGCTTCTGCAAGAATATCATTTCTACCAGAAGGTTTGAAATTACCCTGGGAAGATTGTTCTTCCAAATAATCCTGCAATAAGCACACAAAATAATATTTAAAATGAATTATATGGAAATAAAAGTAATGGATTGAATTTAGTATCAATATTTACTTACAATCTTGTTACCAATAGTTTTAGCCTCCTCTGAGGTATAATTTCCATCTAACCTCAGACGAGCCCTTTTCCACATCTCATGGCGAGAGGGTGGAGATGGGGGGG